GGCGACTGCAGCCCTTGTGGACTGTCACTGCCACCTAGCGGCGCCCGAGCTGCAGCCGGTAAGTCCCCCCCTGGGTCCGCACTTCCACCCCCACACGCGGGGCCCCGGCGTGTGGGGGGCTCTTGCTCAAGGTGCCCTTGTCTTTTGCAGGACCTGGAGGACGTGCTGCGAGCAGCCAAGGAGGTCAGTGCCAGCCCGAGCAGCCCCAGCGCCGTCCCCATGGGCCCCCGCCCCCTTCCCCTCACACAGACACCACACCCTCCTCTATATGCGCATCACCCGCACACACAGACACGCCCCACATGCACATGGACACACACAGAGACACTTCCCCCCCACTGTACACCCTGCCCCTCACCCACACACACAGACAAACACCCCCGCCACCTCCCCACACATCCACTCTCTTCTTCCACACACACATACACCGTTGCCTGCACACAGATACCCACTCCAGGACAGGCTTTTGGTGCAAGTCTGGGGAGGCTACAGAACCCTGTGCGGATGCCATGATGCACCCATGGAGCAGACCCAGCTGGTGCAGGGGGTGTTGAGCATCCACCGTGCTGCAGCCAGGTCCTGCCTTGGGGAAGCTCAGTTTCACTGGATCCAGGTTGTTGCTCTGAAAGCTTGCCTTCTGCTAACCTCACTATGGTGGTGTCCAGGTGATGCTGAAGCCTGGAGGGTCCAGGAATCATGCAAGGGGCAAGGATTTCTCATGGTGACTGCTGGTCTCAGGCAGAGAGACATAGTGAGAGCCCTGCTAGTCAGAGATCAAGGAGAAGGCAGGGGAGACTCGCACTTTACAGACTAACCAAACTAGATGGATGGATATAGCACAAACTTTTGTGAGCTGAAACTCATTGTGCTCAGATGCTCAAGAAAATCTGTCCCATATATATTTGCACATACCACGCATGCGCAGATACATGTGCTATATATTTACATGTATGTGTATGTGTATACACATACACACACGTGATATAGCGTGCACACACGCATCCAAACCTCCCTGCCCCCCCACCACACACGCACTTTGGTTAGCCTATAAGCTGCAAATCTACCCTGCCTTCATCTTTTATTGGACCAATGTGCATAAAGTTAGACAAGCTTCTGAATGCAAGACATTTATTTATTTGACTTTTATGCCACTCTCCGTGAAAAGGTTCATACTACTTATAGCTGTATGGGTGTGTTGCAGTACTAGGTTTTCAGTCTTGTTCCTTTATATGTTGACACAGCTCATCTTAGAAACTGCACTGACAACTGAAGTCTTTTATCATAGCAGATAGAGTAGAGTTTATCTGCCTCTGTCATGTGGCCTTGATGGCTTGCCAAAACTCAGTAAGCAGCCCTCTACCTGAAATAATTGCCTGCCCCTGAGAGAGAGTGCGGGCAGCAATCTTACCATCTTGCTACTCTTTTCTGTTCCTCAGCCCTGCACTCAGAATCAGTAGAAATGCCCTAGAAATGATAGTGACCTTCAGCCTCTGTGTCTGCAGAGACTGCTGCCAGTGAATGCTACTTATGTTGCTTTGCCATTTCCCCTTGGAAAGGACTAAGATAAATTAATGTTATAGAGACCTTCAAAATAGCCATTAGACAGGAAAAACTCACTCAGTACTGACCTATGCCCTGACCTAGCTCCTTTGAAGCTAATTAAAACCTGATCCAGTTCTCATTAAGAGACAGTGGCCTACAGTTGAAATGTTCCAGTGCCTAATATATTTAGTCCTTATATATTTTTATTATGAAGCTATGCCAAAAATGTGAGACTGGATTTCTTTTGGAATTTGAAATATCTAACTGCCCAGTCCTTTCAAAATGAAAAATAGAAATAGAATTTTTTGAGAACTATTCAAAATCTGATGATTATTTTTTTTACCTCTTGCTTTTGACTGTTGGCTCCAGATCATTCCATCCTTTTCCTTCAAATATTTGTATCAGTGGTGCAGGTTGCAGTGAATGGTTGCTGGAAACACATAATAGTCAAACCTTTTCTCCAACACCTCTGCTTAAAATCAGATTTTCTATGGGACAGTGAACTTCACATAAACTATCCCTACCTTAATGTTATAATTCAAAAGCTGACAAGTAAAGAACCTGGAGGTTTTACCAAGTTAGAAGTTTACACTAGGATTTACAGTTGCTTCTCTGAGGTATAACAGTTGTATTTCCTGTTATTTCAGGCTAAAGTTTTGGCCCTTGTGGTAGTTGCTGAACATTCAGGAGAATTTGAAAAAATTATGCAGCTTTCAGACAGGTACAGTTTATGTCAAAGACTCAATTTACCTTGTCGGTGATTAAAATAATAGTTACTTTAATATGATGTAACAGAAATTTGATGTTGGTGCTGTGCGATTCAAAACATGAGGTGATATTGTTTATGGCTGGGAAAAGAAGACGACACAGGTTTATACTGTGCATGGGTAACACCCACAGAAGATTAAGGAATAGCTCATGGAATAGAGCCAAGTCTTACTTAGGTTTTACAGAGTTTGGGTCAGGAGCTCTTATTTCGTGCAGTGTATATATCTATACTGCCTAGCACAATGTGGTCCTGCTATATGAGGCTGCTAACACTTACAGTGCAAAAAAAAAAAAAAAAGAATTAATAAATGAGGTGTGACGCTTGTTAAAGGACACGGAGGAGATCAATAATGTTTTAAAACTATTCTCTTGTGTCTTTGTGAGCATTGTAAACATATGCTGAGCTCACAACACCATTGTAAGACGAATTGGCTACCCAGTTTCACAGATAAGCTGAGGAATGGAGAAACTGAGTAAGTAATGCACAGTTACATGATTGAATGGGGCAGAAAAGAACAGAATCCAGGAGCCTTGATTCCTACTTCTGCATATAACTTCCTCTGAGCAAACAGGATGGTGCTAGGTATGTTTTCTGACTCTTTCACGCACAATAAAATGCAGAACATCCTTTTAAAAGACAGTTATATGCAATATCTAGAATTGTTTAAGGTCATCTATCCCTATTAGTGTTCAAGTTGTGTAACACCAGACAGAATATTCAAGAATAAAAAGGCATTTTAAGTCAAGTGCCAGCAGGATGTCTTTGTCTTTGCTTCCCGGCTGAGTTTTTATTTTGATTTCTACAAAAAAGTGTCTGTCTGGAAACCTCCTACCTTTTCATGCCAGGTTCTATCTTGGCAGAATACTTTTGTGAATGAGCTATAATATGCTTTTCTTTTCTATAGCTCTTTTTAAACTGAAGATCTCAAAGATCTTTAAAAAATACATCACCTATGTTAGGGAGATATCTCCATTTTACAGAGGGAGAGAAATTGACACAGAGAAGATGAAGCTAACATTTCAGAAGAAGTTTCTCTGTTCAGTTGCCTCAATGTTCAACGTGAGACATCAGAGGTGTGATTTTTCAGAGGTGCTCAGCACCCACAACATGATTGAAATCATTTTAAACCGTGGGGGAGCAATGCCTCAGAAAACTGTGCACTGTCAAATTGGCTATCCAAAAATTGCATTACCTAAAAGCAAAGAGGATTTTTGAAAATGTGACCATGTTTTGCCCAGGATCAAAGAGCAGGTAATATCAGAGGCAAAATCAGAACCCAGGTACTCTGATTTCCATTCTCCAGTCATTGTCACAAGATGTGCAGCTGTGCACATGGATTACTGATGAGGAATATACAGGAGCCTTAACTCATCATTAGTCTGATGCCTGTTTTGTGAATATGTTTTTCATTTCTAGGTTTCCAGGGTTTGTTTTCCCATGTCTAGGAGTTCATCCAGTTCAAGGCATTCTTAGCAGGGAGGAGCCGGAAGACCATCGCAGTGTTACTTTAAAGGTGAAATGTGGACAAGTTACATTAGTATGCTAACAAACTGTTGCTGGGACCAGTTTGGACAAGTGGCAGTTTAGGGATACTGGGGTCTGACTGATCTAAAATTTAAATCCAGCTTAAACCATACATTGTTTTTTTTATATGTTGCCGTTATACAGAAGGGTTGTTGGCTGTAGCCATGTTGGTCTAAGGAGATAGGCAGACAAGGTTATTTGGGTAAATGTGGTATCTTTTATTAGACCAACTGAGTCGTTGGAAAAATTGTTCTTTGCAAGCTTTTGGGCACAAACACCCTTCTTCAGGCATAGGGAGAGTCTGGTGGTGTTTTGTGTGCTCTCCTGGGTGGAACAGAAGCCAATATGCAAAACGCAGGTCTCTGAAAATGCAAATGCATGCAAGTGAGGATCAGAGAGAATGGGGAGAATAGGTGTGAGACAGGTAGGTTGTGGTGGGGGGGAATGTTGAGCTGGCAGGCAGCCATAAATCCAATATGAGCTGGGAGGTTACCTGGGTTTATTAGATGTCAGGCAGGTTATAATGTGCCATAAATCCAATGTCTATACTTAGTCCATGATTTTTTGTATCCAGTAGGTTTATGAAGTGAAGTTCATGGGCTTGTCTACAAAATGTGTTTTATAAATCCCCTGTGAGGATTGGAACTGAGAGATTGGAGAGAGAGTGGTTTTCTTGTGAGAAGTGTGAACCCACAGGTAATTGGGTATTTTTGTCTTTGATAGATTTTCAGCGTGCGTTCATTCTGATGCACAGTTGTTGTTCGGTTTCTCCTATGTATTTTCCATCAGGGCATTTAGTTAGCTGTATGAGATATATCACATGACTGGTTTTAGATTTCTTGTCATGGCATGGTCTGGATCCACTTGGTGTGCTTTGAGCTATAGGAAGTTTGCTTCTGGTGATGATGTTGGCAAGGTTCAGGTTGGCTTGTTTAAAGGCCTGGGTGGGTGGTTCTGGAAAGATCTCTTTAAGAAGTGGGTCTTCTTTTAGTATGGGTAGCAATTGTTTGAGGATTTTCTGTGTGGGTTCCAGGGAAGGGTGATATGTCATAAAAAATGGTGCGCGATTTGCGGGGATTTTCTTTTTGTATTGCAGCAAATCTTCACGTGGTATCTGGATGACTCTTTCCAAAATGCATTCTATCTCTCTGGAGGAATGTCCTTGGTGGGTGAAAGCCCTTTTGAGAGTTGTGAGGTGATGATCATGGGTGTTCTCCTCAGTGCAAATTCAGTAGTATTGGAGGGTGTGGCTGTATATTACAGATTTCAGGGTATGTGTAGGGTGATTGCTGGTTCTGTGTAGATATGTATGTTGGTCCATGGGTTTCTTGTATATGGTGGTTTGTATTTTACCATTCCAGATATTGATCATAGTGTCTAAAAAGGAAATGTTGATGCTGGAGATTTTAAGAGCTAGTCTGATGGAGGGGTGATGGTTATGGAATTTGTGATGGAAATCAATCAGAGACTGCAGTTTTTGGTCCAGCTGATGAAGGTGTCATCTGTATACCTTAGGTATAGCACTGGTTTGATGTTGCAGTTCTTGAGAAATTCTTCCAGGTGGTCCGTAAAAAGGTTGACATCTTGTAAGGCCATTTTGGTGCCCATAGCTGGGCCCATGGTCTGGAGGAAGTGTTGGTTATTGAAACTGAAGTTGTTGTGTGTGAGGATGAAGTGTATAAGTTCAGTAATATTTAGGTTTGTATTCTGAGTTGTAATCTTGCTCTTGTAGATATGTAAGGCAGGCTTGGATACCATTCTTGGTGTGGGATGTAAGCTGGTAACATCCATGGTGGCTACAAGGGTATTGCTGGGAAGGTGGTCTGTGTTTTTAAGTTTTTGTAGGAAGTCTGTTGTGTCTTGGACAAAACTCGGTCTTTGGGTGACGAGAGGTTTTAGGATTGATTCAATGAAACCTGATATTTGCTCAGTTAGGGTTCCATGTTTGGATATTACAGATCTGCCTGGGTTCCCTTGTTTGTGGATTTTAGGGAGCATGTAAAAGGATTGGGTAGTGCGGGGATCACATTTTGTAGTTTTACTTGTAGCTCAGATAGAAATGATGTGATGGTGTTTTGAGTTTTAAGGTGAAAAAGGGAGTTGGATCTTCCTCCAGTTTTTCGTAGTAGGTGGTATCCAGAAGTTGTCTGTTGGCTTCTTTTATGTAACCTTCATGGTTAAGGATAACGATAGCTCCTGTTTGGTAGTTGTATCTCCCAATGCCTGAAGAAAGGTATTTGTGCCCAAAAGCTTGCAAAGAACAATTTTTCCAACTATTTTGTTGGTCTAATAAAATATAACACATTTACCCAAAGAACCTTGTCTGCCATTATACAGAAAACACTTTGGACCAAATTTTGAATCTCCTATACTGCTTTGGTAGCACTAAGGAAAAATGCTCACTGAAGTAATTTGGCTGTCTGTTTTTCAGAGTTACGGTAAAACACTCTTGAAATTCTGGCTGAATGATCATGCTCACTCTTTTTGGCTGTAATCAGCAACCTCACTGTTCCTTCATTGGCATGGGGAGGGGAAGACTCTGTGTAAGGACAGTTACATATCTGTGTCCATGTCTCACCCATGAGACATGGGTGACTATTTACCTTTGTCATTCTCAGACTCTAAATATAACTTGTTTTTGCAGTGCTAATTACAGGTTCTGCTTATATTAAAATGTACCTTTTATAAAGGAGTCAGAATAAAGCAACAGAGCCCTGCAGGGTCTGAAAAACCTTCATTTTCTACCCAGACATATAGTTGCATTTTCCATACCCCCTAGATGAGGGATTCTACAATTTTGTTGAATGGAATTCTTCTTGTCTTGAGGATTATTTATTTAATGCTTTCTTTTACAGAGCTTGCCTCTTTCTTTTTTTCTTCTTTTTCACAGGACCTTGATGCTGCATTGCCACTTATAGAACACTATAAAGATAGCTTGTTGGCAATTGGAGAGGTGAGTACAAGTTCTGTGTTTTATTTAAATCTTTCTTTTTCGTCACCTGGATCCTCGGAGTTGTAAGCATGTAGGACTTCATTGATTCTACGTACATAAGAAGTAACACTAACAAATACAGCAGCTGAAAAGCCTGACCTGTCATTCCAGGCCTAAATGTGTTTCCTTTTGTGTTTTTCCCCGATTCCCTACCACACTCCTGAATACTTTGTAGTGCTAATATTTCAGGTATACGATAAATAAATATGTTTACTTCCAAACGTGTCATTGCAGCCCTTCAAATGCTTAAACTGGAAAAGGGTATTAACATTCAAACAGCAGTAAGGGAATACTCAGAAAAAAGCAACAATATTGGGGAAATCAGTGACAGCATTTTCTATCTTCCCCTCCCTATCATCTTTCCAGTTCCCTCATTTGTTCTTCCCTGATTTTTAGATAGTATGCCTCATTTTTAAAATCTCTGCTTACCCATCTTGGTACTTGAAGCTGCCATTTTCTGTTAAGAATAACTCAAGATACTGAATCAACCACATGAGAAAAGTAAAGTGATAGATCTTAGCAATAAGGGTGAATGGAAAGGTGGAGGCTTTTAAAACTGTCTCATAATAGCTATTTTTAATACAGGATTGTATTCAACAGTCTGGAGTTGATACTAAATATCTTACTTGCATATAACAGTCATGCCAACTTGTGTTGTGAGCGTGTGAGCTAAGCCAGGTCATACAAATCAGTACGTAACTGGGATATCACCACTGAATATTTAGGAGCTGTGGGGAGGAGTGTCTGTAATTCAGTTGTTGATGTCTTATCTCTGACTCAGTACTGAACTGAAGTATGGTGCGAAGACACCATGCTGCTGGAGCTATTACTTTAACTCAGACGAAGGCCTTGTGTCTTCAGGTCATTACAGATCCACTGGCAGTTTTCATTACAGGTGTTAACCTGGCCAAAGTCCTGGTTAGCTTCTTGTGCTCTGTTTACTTATATTGTCTCAGCCATTTTGTTGGGTTGGGATTCTCTTTCACTTTGTAATGTGCCTTTTTGTGCTGCAGTGATTTCAGGGTTGTTTAACTAGTGCTTGGAAGGTTTTTGTTGTTTCTTTCTATGGATTCCTCAGTGTTTTAAAAAAAAATTACATATGTCAGTTATTTGAGGCTCAGGATATTCTGTGAGATAGGCAAGGAATACAGATCCAGGGGTTTAATTTGCAATCATCTTTAAGCAATCCTTAGAGTTAGGCAAAGGGCACAGACAGAAGTGCAACTCCCCACTGTAACTCATGGAACTTTGCAGGAAGTGCCATGAGTTACAGCGATCCCCCAGATCCAACAGACATTCACTGTTGGGTCCTGGGGGTTGGGGGATCAAGCTGCGGGTAGAGCAGCTCTGAGTCTGCAGCCGCTCTCCCCTAAACCCCCTCCCCGCCTTTATGCCCGGCACTGTGTTCAGAATGGGAGGTGGGGGAGAGAGTGGAGGGAGAATGGTCTGGGAGTCGCCCAGGCAGCATTGAGGGTAGGGTGGGTGTATTGGAGCCCCTTGGATTGAAAAGCTGTTTCTTTTATGTAATTTACTGTAGTTTTGTATGACATCACATCTGCAAAACTTTCTTATTTCTCCTTTTATACGCTGTAGGTTGGACTGGATTTCACTCCTAGATTTGCCAGCACCGATGAACAGAAGGAGGAACAAAGACAAGTCTTGATCAAGCAGATTCAATTAGCGAAAAGACTGGGTTTGCCTTTGTAGGTCTCGTTTATTTTGGCAGAATACTGTTTCAGAAAAGACCTAAAATCACATTTGTCAGCATTTCTAGTTATTAAGGAGCCTGCAACATTGCTTAAAATGTAGAGAGATTAGATTTATCAACCTTCCCACTTTTTAAGAAGACAGTTGAATTCTACCTACTTAAAATTCATTGTGAAGCCTCAATTGAATTTGTACTCTTCATTACCATTTATCATCGACTGTACTGCTGTATTTTCATTGTTTGTTTATATTCTCATAAAGTTATATGGGGTCTTTCTTGGTGCCATAAACATTTAAATTACTCTTTTCTTTCTTGCCAAATTGCTGTCAAGTCAGTGAATCATATGAAAACATATTCCACTTAATTTCCTAATACTGGATTTTTTGCCCTCTACAGAAATGTCCATTCACGGTCAGCTGGAAGACCAACTATTAACCTTTTAAAAGAACAAGGTACGATTTTGGATTTATTTCATGCCGTTAATAATTACAGGTGTCTTTATACAATGTTTGTTTAGCTTTACCATATCTAGCTAAGCATCGTGCATATATGAGTTTGTGTACGCAAAACCTGGAAGGCATGTTATGGAAATCCTGAAAAGTTGGTCTTCACCATACCGTTTCTCTGAATTACAATTTGTTTAAAGAACTCTTCATTTTACCTTAGTTACTGACAGCTTTCTTGTTCATATTCACCTTTTCTTGCATTTATATCTGCTCTCAAAGTTAACATTTTGAGAATCTGAAATGCCCTTTTATTTCCTTCCACACTGGAGATTTTAAATACTTTTTGAGTAATATACAGCAAGTAAGAGACTTGATGCTTCTGTAACCCAATTTGTCTCGTATTTACTTGATCCTACAATAAGATGGGAATGGGGGGGGATCCTCCATTTAACATAGGAATGGGGGTAGCCCCTCATCTTAGAATCATGTAGGAGGGCAGTGGGGAGGCAGGCAGCTGCTGTGGCTCTGGCTCCAGCTCCTACCTAGAGCTGGGGCTGTAGCTGCAGCTGGAGTTGCTGTGTGCCCCCTACCCCCTGCCACCTCCCCCCTGCAGCCTCTTCTTCACATTTCCCCCGCCCAGCTCAGTCTGTGTTCCTCCACCTACACTTCTGCCTCCCCCACTTACTTTTGCTCTTCCCTGGCAGGCTCCACACACACTTCATCTTGGGGTCCTGAACGTGGTTGCAGCCTAGCTCCATAACAGTGATGCACAGCCTAAACAGCTTCTATGCAGGCCAGCCTGGGACTGTGCTCAGTGCTCCAAGTTAGAATGGGAACAGAGCTAGTGTAGAGCAAAGGTAAGGGGGGAACTAGAGAACAGTGGCTGGGAAGGAGGAGGCAGGAGTGGGGAAGCAGAGGGGCTGGGTGGAGGGGGGAAGCAGAGAGGTTGGAGGAGAGGGAAGGGGGAACAGAGAGAGAGTTTAGGGAGGAATAGGGAGTAGAGGCAGGGGGAGGATGGGGAAGGAGGGGCCTGAGGTTTCAGGGAGGGGCAGGAGGGAGAGCAGGGGTAGAGGCTGGAGGCAGGGACTGAGGCTGGGGGAGTGGGGTGACAGGCACAAGCAGGGGGTAAAAGCTACTTGACCTCCCCACCTGCCCCCTAGCCCCCACTGCCTGCCCTCGTGCAGCGGTGGGGGAGATAAATTAAAGATGACCCTCCAGTAATTGTATGCATGGAAAATTATAACAGATTTCTAAATTTTCCATGTATAGAATCTAATTATTGGGGGGAGGAGGGCTTGTCTTATATTCAGGGTCATCTTAGATTTGAGTAAACGCAGGAATTATTATTAAACTCTAGAATTTCTTGCTGTGCCTGGGACAAAGATCAAATGTATCTGTTAAATAGGCATTAATTAATGAATGTACATTAGTAGATACCTGTCTGTTGAGGTACCATATCCTGCATTGGCATGGCAATGGACATGATGGTCCAATAGGTTTGTTCATCTCTTAGCTAGTGCCCTACTCACTTTACTTAATTGGAGCAAGGACTTTCACAGATAAGAAAGTGGAATGATGGCTACTGCTGTTTGTCTCTCTTACATTAGAATTATCATGCTAGCTTTTGGTAGAAGCTCCTTGGTCCCATTGTGCTTTCCAGAGACTGCAGTACTATCACAAAAACAGTTAGAAATGTTTGCATTATGCTCTCTAGTTTTCACCCTATGGTCCTGCTGGCAGAGAGGTACCTTTCAGACCCAGTCATATCTCCCAATGGAGACCCTCTGCCTCTTGTATCTGGTTCTATTCCACACCTAAATCCTCCAGTTTGTCAGTCTGGTACCACAAGCACCTGTTGTGCCGGAATGACTGTTTGCTCTACTGGAACAGTTCTGACTATTTTTCTTTGTAGCACTGTATCTCACATGATTTCATTGGGACTATGGTGCTCTCACTGGGAGCTGACATCACAGTGCCATCATGAATGTAATTATTTAATTGGTTTGGGTCTGTGTAGGTGCTGAAAAGGTGTTGCTCCACGCATTTGATGGAAGGCCATCTGTGGCGATGGAAGGAGTGAAGGCTGGATATTTCTTTTCCATTCCTCCTTGCATTATAAGGAGCGAACAGGTAAAAGTAAAATAATAGTCCTGTCTCAGGGATTAGGGATTCACAATTTATCACAGTGAGAAAATACTAAATTTGCTATAGTGATTAAAAAAAAAAAAGAAAAAGAAGAAAACCCATGATAGCTTTTGAAGTCTGAAATATATGAAGAATTACAGGTGGATCTGGTAGTGCCACCTGTTATTAAGGTTTCTGGATAAGTCTCTTTATAAGGTCCTGTTTCAGTTGCTTATAATTTTGCCAAACTTTAACTATTTGGGCTGAAAATTTCCAATTTCCATTCAGCTTGGTGTCTACTCAGCTAAAGTAGTTGAATTGTTTGGAGGATGAATCTAGGACTGATGTTATTTTTGACACAATAAATAATTATTTTATTTAGAAGGTCTTGCACCATCATGTGTTGGAGCAGGAAACTTCACAGTGGATTGGCCTTTCTGTCAGGGACATGTCTTTGCTGTTCTATTCCACTCTAAATCAGCCAAGTTACAAGCCTTTGGAAAATCACAGCTAGAGATTTCTTATTTTTTAGCAGCCAAATTGCTGGAAGACTGCGTGCAGTGAGCTTGCTTCTGCCCAAGGCTAAGCTGGGCTTTCTCTGTAATCATATTCTGGACTCTTGCAGGCTGTTTAGAATCCATATTTGGGCACCTAAACTCAGACTGGATACAGTATCATTCCTGTGCTTTCAGTGACATTTTTCCTGGGGCAAGGCAGCACAGAGAAAACGAGTTGAGTCTAGTATGGAGGGGACAGGGATTGGATAGTGGCATTGGGGGATGGAAGGGAGAATAAATATTATGTGATTGAACCCTAATGCATATGCCCAAGGGGGCCAAATCCAGGCAGTCTTAGTTCTGTTTTTCCCCTAACATTTGTGTACTCACCTGACTTCGTAGCATGATTGTTTCCTATGTGTTGATTTCTTGTGTCCTTGATTAGTTAAATAATACCCCTGTGTTCCAATATGGATGGGATTCTGCCTTTTCTTGTTGACTTGATTACTCTTGGCTTTTTTCCTTAGGTTTAAGTGAATCAGATATTTAATGGGTTTTTCTTTTTGTTTTTTAAGAAGCAAAACCTTGTGAAACAGTTGCCTTTAGAAAATATGTGCTTAGAAACTGACTCTCCTGCTCTAGGCCCTGAAAAACAGGTACATTATTGGTTCTCTACTTCATTTTTCCAAAAAAATGTGGCCTACAAAAGCCAGAAAACAGAGGGTGAATTTTGAGCAGAGGCAAGACAGAGACAATATTGTTAGATGATATTTGAAAAAAGGTGACATGCTAATGAAGCAGATAGATCTGGGAAGCCAGCAGAGAAGAGGAATATTGCCAAGGAAAAGCAACTGCAGGATAGGATAGAGAAGAGACTGGTGAATGATGAGCAAGAATAGCAATTGCCTATGGGGCCTATCCATTTTACAGTTACAACCATGTTAGTAACAGCTGCTTTAAACAAAAACTAAATGTGATGCTAATGCTATTTGAGTTGAACGTCAATGCATTCTTTTTTATGATTCAGGTGAGAAATGTACCACAAAATATTTCCATTGCTGCAGAATGTATTGCCAAAATTAAAGGGATTCCAGTGGAAGAAGTTATAGAAGTGACAACGAAGAATGCATTGAAACTTTTTCCCAAACTTCAGAACTTCCTTCAAAAATAGACTCAGCATGTGTAATTGCAGTATGTCCCAAAAAGTAATACGTGTGCGTAATAAAAATGCCTGTAGTGTTTGAAATAGATGGTTTTGTTATCAAATAGTTCAGGAAATGGGTGTTATAATAGATATGGTTGATTTATCTAAGATCTTGTTCTGCTGTTAATTTGACAGCTTCGATGTTATTTTGTATATTAAGTTACACCTTGATCCTCAAAGGCAGTATGTACTACAGGACAGGCAACTGGGGGGGGCACATGACCCCTTGAGATTGGCCCCCGACTCAGCATCGCTCAGGACAGGGCAGTTTTTTTGCCACGCGGGCCAGCGGCGTCTTACGTGGAGGGGTGCGCACTAAGCCACGGCACAGAAGTATAGGATTGGATATGGGGCTTTTGGCCTGCCCACCAGTCACCCCTGCACTACAGCATTCTTATCTTACTCAGAGTCTGTTGACATCACTACAGCTGCAAAACACAGGCGCTTAAATCTGCTTTTGAGATTCTGATGGCAGGATCAGGGCCTAGTTTTGTTTCTCCAGCTGTTTCATAGTTTCATAGTTGTTAGGGTGGGAAGGGACCTCAATAAATCATCGAGTCCGACCCCTTGCCCTGGGCAGGAA